GAGTTTTGAGGAGTGATGGAAATGTTTTGAAATTGATTGTGGTGATGGTTACATAACTCTGAGGACACAGAATTTAAAAACCACTGAATCGTAGACTTTAAATAGGCGAGCTGTATGAAATATGAATTGTATTTCAATTAAACAGTTCTTAAGGAAGGGGAGAGACGCTGCCTAGGTTGGGAGTAGCCTGCTGCTGGAAGCAAAGTCAAGGAACTGCTAATGTCCCCAGGTCTGCCCTCACCATTTTGTGTCCTACACAGGAGAAATATATGCTGCCAATGAAATGGTCATAAGCACAGGCTGGAAGGCACACCTGCATTTCAGAAATGTTAAGATGGGCAACAATGTGTGTCTTGGACTCAGTGAAGTGTGGCTCACTGTACCCATCGGGAGACATGCACCAGAAGGTTCACAGCTGCTTGTGTAATAGCTCCAACCCAAAAAACAATGCAATATCCACTCACGGTAGCACCGATAAACAAACTGTGGTCACTCCCACTGCACATACTACCCAGCTGTGCAAAGGAGAGAACTACAGCCACACGTGGCAACCGAGGTGACACTCAGACATTATGTTGGCAAAAGAAGCCAGATATAAGAGAACACAGGCATTTCGTTCATGTAAGTTCAAAACCAAAATCTAGAGGATAGGAATTTTTTATTGGTGATATAACTATAAAAAAAGGTTTTGTAAGGAGAGATTATCACAAAGATAAGACGGCGGTTTATTCCATCTTGAGGAAGAAGGGCATTGTGCCTCGGGTGTGGCTGGCACTATTAAATTTCTTGACCTGGATGGTTAGAGGAAGTTTGATTTTTTTTAAACCTTTTTACTGAACACAACATACTGAATGCACAGAGGTACACACAAGTCAACAGACTTTCATAAACCAATATACCCATGTAACCATCACCCAGATTAAGAAATAAAACATTTCCAACATCTCAGAGGCACCCCCCCCCATATTCCTATAAAGTCACTTCTGTGTCTCGCAAGAGCAACCACCATCTTCTAACAGCATAGATCACCCTTGCCTGTTTCTGTGCTTTATACAAATGAAATCATAAAGGATGTAGTCAAATGTTTGCTTTTTAATTGCTGTTATCACCACACAAATGTTTTATGTACTTTTCTATATGTACAAATCCCCCAAAATTGAAAAGCTGCCAGCTAATCTCTATGCTTTGGCAATTCGAAAATACAGAGCTAAAAGGGAACTCAGCTCTTGAGAACAGTCAGTCTCAATTTAAGTAAGGCTTGTGTAACAGCAACTATTCGCTGAGCACCATGCCAACATCGCCACGCAATAACCTCCCTAATCCTCACAGCACCCCAAGATGATGGCAGTGCCAGGGTCTCCATTTTACAGGTGAGAAAACCGAGGTTCTGAGAGGCTACGGGAGAGATCTGCGGGACTTCACAACGCAAGTCCCTCACGGCAGGCTTCCCCGTCAGGAGGCCAAGACACAGGGAGGAGGTGGGTCCCGGCCCCACCTCCAGGTTTACAGCTGTTCCTGCCGGTGACCAGGCCGTCCCCCCACCACCCGTCTCCCCACACCAAGGTCATACCTCAAAAAGGGCAGTGGGGAGAGGGAGCCCCGATAGGCCACAGACTCACCCATAGTCACTGAGACCATTGTCTCCTTGGCCCTGATGCTGCTCCCGGGAGCCTGGAGGAAAGAACAAGGGGAGAAGGCCCATGAGTCGGCACCGGCTGTGAGTGTGCGTCCCGCTCTTGCTGCCCGTCTGCCTGCCCGAGAAGCGTTCCTGGGGGCTCACAGCCCAGGAATAGCCTAGAGCAGCTGGCAGGCAGACAGCCTGGGCCAGAGCTGCCACCACAACTATCACTTCTGCCTGGGACGGGGCCCAGGGACAGCAAATGTCCGCAGCTCCACTCCCTCACACCTCAAAAGCTTCTGGCTGGAGTGAGAGTGACAGGAAAAAGACACCCCCTGCCCAAGACTTTAACCATAAATACCCGTTCAAGTATCCATTCAAATACTATTTCCTGAGAACCTACTATGTGTGGGGCACTGTTCTAGGAGCTGGAGACACTGGCGTGGAAGAAAACACAGAGGGGAGGTAAAAACACTAGGTGGGGACAGGAGAAAGGGGGAGACAGCATAAACAAGCAAGACACTTAAGGATACAGTGTAACCTCAAAAAGGGCAGTGGGGAGAGGGAGCCCCGATAGGCCACAGACTCACCCATAGTCACTGAGACCATTGTCTCCTTGGCCCTGATGCTGCTCCCGGGAGCCTGGAGGAAAGAACAAGGGGAGAAGGCCCATGAGTCGGCACCGGCTGAGTGTGCGTCCCGCTCTTGCTGCCCGTCTGCCTGCCTGCCCGAGAAGCGTTCCTGGGGGCTCACAGCCCAGGAATAGCCTAGAGCAGCTGGCAGGCAGACAGCCTGGGCCAGAGCTGCCACCACAACTATCACTTCTGCCTGGGACGGGGCCCAGGGACAGCAAATGTCCGCAGCTCCACTCCCTCACACCTCAAAAGCTTCTGGCTGGAGTGAGAGTGACAGGAAAAAGACACCCCCTGCCCAAGACTTTAACCATAAATACCCGTTCAAGTATCCATTCAAATACTATTTCCTGAGAACCTACTATGTGTGGGGCACTGTTCTAGGAGCTGGAGACACTGCCGTGGAAGAAAACACAGAGGGGAGGTAAAAACACTAGGTGGGGACAGGAGAAAGGGGGAGACAGCATAAACAAGCAAGACACTTAAGGATACAGTGTGTCAGGAAGCCTCTGGTGACATGCAGGGCCTGGGAAGGGAGGGGCTGCAATTCTAAATAGGGTGATCAGGGAAGATCTCTCAAAAGTGGCATTTAGAGACCCAAAGGAAGTAGAGGGGTGAACCATGTGGATTTACAGAAGAAGAGTATTCAGAGGAAGGACAACGAGCCCGGTGCCCTGAGCCCAAAGCCCATCTGGCATGTGTGTGGGACCGCAAGGAGCAAGTGTGGCTGCAGAGGAGTGGGTGGAGGGACGGGGAGAAGCAGACGGCAGAGAGGTGGGACAGACACCAGGTCATAAGAGGCCTCAGAGAAGAAATGGAAAACCTACGTTCACTTAGATAAGATTAGCAGGCATTAGAAAGGTGTTGAAGACATATTAGCACCAACAGAGACTTTCTACTGGACATCGATAGCAGCAGTGAAAGGGAACTAAAGGAAATCACTTTCTTGCCAGATGAGTCAATGCCATCTGCCTGTAGGACCACTTGTACCATGCTGTCCTGGCCCAAACTTCCCACTGAGCACCCTTCTCCCTCGCCTCTGCACCCCTCCTTCACTCTGCCCTTGTCTGCCTGCTCCAGCCCCCAATTCTGATCCTTCTCCCTAGCCTTCTTCTACAGGGTGTAAAAGGCACTCTGTCCTGCCCCTTTCTGTTTACCGTCACACATAATCTGCCCCTCCCTGCCCAGATTTTGATGGTGTAATAGAGATCATGTAAGAGTAAGGACTCTGGAACCAGACTGCAGACTTCCCATCTGGCTCTACCACTTACTAGCTGTGTGGTAGTTTGAGCCTCAGTGTCCCTATCTGTAAACTGGGATGGAGCAAATGTCATTTCCTTTAGGGGACTGCTGTGAGGGCTAGATGAGTTTTTATGTACAAAGCACTGAGACAGTTCCTGGTATATCCTGAGTACTCCAAAATGCTGGCCCTTCTTATCCCCCAGGCCTCCCACCCCAGCCTTCCCTCTAACACCCAAGTGCTTTGCTGCCTCCCGGTTTTCACACAGAATGGCACCTGGGCCTGGAATGCTTGCTCCTGTCCACCTGGTAAGCCCTCCTGTATTCAGCTGGACTGCCATCTGCTTTATGAAGCTTTCCCAAAGTCCCCAGATGTGAGACTCTCTCCTCCATCCTCAACTAGGGTTCACCCTGCCCTTCACTGGCTTCTGATGCATCTCCTATTGAGGAACATGGCCACAGACATTACTCTGCCCTATACTTGACTCCTAAGATCCATCCACTTTCCCTTCTGGATTTTACCATTGGACAAAGAAAAACAACCAGCATCTTTCAAAGAGCAGGGCATGGAGAGGTTCCAGACAGAACAACATCTCACATACCAAATACTAACTATGCACCAGGACCAGACCCAGGCATCATGCCGATGCCTCATAACCTCCTCAGGAGTGAGGCTATTATTAGCTCCATTTTTGTCGATGCAAAAACCAACTCATCAAGGTGCAGTCATACACCAAATGCCACATCTAGCAAGCGGCTTTACTGGGTTTCAAAAACAAGTTGTCCCTAGAGGACCTGATAGACATTTTTCCAAAGAAAATATACAGAAGGCCAACAGACACATGGAAAGATGCTCCATAGATAATCACATGGGAAATGTAAATCAAAGCCACAATGAGATACCACTTCACACTAGACAGAATGGCTAGTTACGAACAAGACAAGAAATAACAAGTGTTGCCAAGGACATGGAAAAAAGGGAACTCATATTCTGCTGGTGAGACTGTGAACTGGAACAACCACTATGGAAATTAGTATAAAGATTTCTCAAAAAATGAAAACTAAACATATCATATAACCCAGCAATTCCATTTCTGGGAATTTATTTGAAGAAAACAAAATCACTAATCTGAAAAGATATATCCACTTTTATGTTTATCACAGCATTATTCACAATAGCCAAAATATGGAAATTACCTAAATGTCCACTGATAGATGAATGGGTAAAGAAGATGTGGTATAGCTACATAATGGAATATTATTCAGCCATAAAAAAGAACGAAATCTTGCCATTTGTGACAACGTGGATGGATCTACAGGGTATTATGCTAAGTTGAAATAAGCCAGGCAGAGAAACACAAGTACCACATGATTTCACATATATGTGGAATCAAAACAAACAAACAAAACTGAAATGGACTGAAATACAGAACACACTGGTGACTGGCATAGGGCATGGGGGGGGTAAGGAGATGGATGAAATAAGTGGAGGGGAAAAAATTAGAATATTTGATATTTTGATCTGGACAATGGTTATGTGAGTTTAAACACGTCAAAATTCATCAAGCTGTACAGTCAGATTTGTGCATTTTAACTGTGTATTATTTATTATATATATCAAAATAAATAAATAAATAAAGAGATGATGCCTCAGGAAAAAAGAAAAAACAAGTTGTCCCTGATTCCAGTGCCCACGCAGTAGCTCCTGTTGAATGTTTACATGCCAGACACTGTGTATCCACATCTCAGTGACTCCTCACAATCACCTGAGGGGGGGAAAAGTAAAAATGAGCCCCGTGCTACAGATGAGAGTAGCAGGTCCAAGGTCACACAGCAAGGACTGCAGAGCCAGGACTCAAACCCAAGTCAGTCCAATGGCTATGACCAACACTGGTAAAGGGATCACTACAAGCCAGGCGCTGTGGTCTGTCGTTGTAAGGTTTCAGCTGGTGCTTACCAGAAGCCTTTAAGGACTGGTGTCCTCCCCCTCCAGTTGCAGAATTCCCTGCTGAATTCAATTTCCTTTCTCCATCAAAAGCCCATCTCCAGAGCTTTCTGAACAGTGAAAAATTGTAGCATTAATAATAACAGAAACATGACAGCTCCCAAAACTCAAGTAGTTACCATGTAGCCGACTCCCTGTGCTAAGCCCTGAGAAAGCATGTGAATACAAATCCCGATTTTACTACATCCTTAACCCTGACTCCGGAGCAAGTGGCTTAACCTTTCTGAATCTCACTTCCCTCAGCTCTAAAATAAGAAGGATAGTAGTATCTACTCTTAAAGTGGTTAGAGGGTTTAAATGAATTCATAAACATCAAGCCCTTAGAACAATGCTTGGCAGACCATAAGTGCTATGCACATGTGCATTAAATAAATCGATCTTCAGAGTGAGCTAAGTAAAGGGTAGGGCAGTCACCAACCTAATGTCAGTCACATGCAAAGTATGAGCTGAGGACAGAGTATAAAACAATCTGACACGGTCCTTAGGGTCTGGCAACATGGAATTACATAGTACAAGCAAGTTAGTTCCTTTACAATTCTTTTTGTTTCTGTTTACAACTTAATAGACTGTTCTGCTTCCATTATATTTCAAAGTTTTGCTTCTTCTAGTGGCCAGCAATGCTAGTTTTCCATTAGGCCAGCAATACAAATTAACTGACTGGAGGAAAATGCATCAGTGGTTTTAAAGAAAAAAGAAATCTAATACTATGGAATTTGGCAAAATTTACCAAATAGTAAGTAGCAGGAAATCAATTTGCTCAACTCCAAATCCCAAGTTTTTCCTATTGCTTTCTCTGAGGTTCCTCCTTTCCTGTACTTCCTTGATAGTCCCAGGTACCCCAATAACTCTCATAATTATTATTATTATTATTATTATAGTCCTAATCTATTGAGGTCCTACTCAATACCATGCCCAGCCCTGCGCTAAGGGCATTACACACACATTTCATCAGTATTTGCACAATGACCCTATGGTAGTGGGACTATTAGCCCTCATTGTAAAAATGAGGAAAATGATTTTCAGAAAGGTTCTGAAGGCACAGGTCTCCTGCCACAAAGTAGAGGTGGAACTTGAACTCGAATCTGGTAGCCTCCAATTTCACTCTCCCACACCCAGATCTTCCATGCCAAGCGCAAACACCACCGTCAACGCAGTACTAACAATAACAACGAAGTGAGCAGTGTGCCAGGTGCTGTACTAGGGACTCCGTCATGCACGAGCTGAATTCTCACGCCAATCAAAGTGGATGCTGTAGTCAGATTCTGACCCCCATTCTACAGAGGAGGAAACTGAGGTTCAGAGAAAGAAGTCGCTTGTCCCGGGCCGCACAGCGGCGCGGGGACCGACTCCGTAGTTCCAGGCGCCATCCATCCCCACCGCATCCGGCCCAGTCCCACCACCCCCGACACGGCCTCACCTGGCCCTCGGGCCCGCGCCCACTCGCGCCGCCCGCCCTCCCTCCCGGCGGCGCCAACTGTCAGACCCTCCTCCCTCGGCCCGGCTGCCCGCCCGGAAGCACCGCCTTCTACGCCGGAAGCCAGACTGCCCCCCCCCCCGGCCGCTCTAGCCCGCCGGGCCGCCACCAGCGAGAGTGAGGCGGGAACCGTCACGTGACCGCGTAGGGTCCTCCCGGTGCTTCCCTCCGCCCCGCGCTAGCGAAGAGCGCGGCCAATGAGACAGGCACGTGCCTGGGCCCAGTCGGTCCGCAGTCCAGCCGTAGTGCGCCTGCGCGCAGTGGGGGTGGCCGGGCGGGGCTCCAGGCCAGAAGGTTCTCGCCAGGCTGGGTCCTGGCGTGGGAGACGTGGAGGGCAGGTATTGTGCGGTCTGGCGGCGCTGCGCCTCGGCGGCCCTCCTCGGGTTGTCTTTCCGTCTGTAATGCATCTCTACCCTTATGTCGTCCTCTGCCTCTTTAGGTCGCCATTCCTCTCCTTATGTCGCATCCCGCTTAACTCGTCACCATTCCTCTTCTGTCGCTGTCACCCTCCTTATGTCGCCAGCAACCCCCTTTAACTCTCTTTCGTTCCCTTCAAGCCCCCGTTGCCACTGTATGTTGCAGTCGCCTCCCTTTAAGTCGCCATTGCCGTCTTATGTCGCCTGCACCCCTCTTTTGTTGCCCTTTCTCCTCTGTGAAATCCTCACTTCTCTTAAGCCATCATCATACCCCGGTGTCACCTTTGTGCTCCTGTCACCATCTCTTAAAATCGCGCTCACGCTCCCCTTATGTCATCCTCACCCCTTATGTCTCCGTTCCTCCCATGTCACCTTTGCTCACAGTCACAGTCCATGCCTCATGCCTCTAGTTTTCCCGTAAGGAGCAGCCCTGCCTTATTGTTTTTCATCTCTCCATGTCGCTGTCATTTCCCCGAGTCACCTCTCACATACTCGCCACCATACATGGTAATAGAGCGTGTTCCCCGGCAGTGTCAGAATCCCAGCTCCACCACTAAATCTCTGGGTAACCTTGACCACCTAATCACACCTTTGCAATCTCAGCTTCCTCATCTGTAAAATACACACAAGGATACCTAAGTGAGGGATGACGGTGAGGATTCTGCCAGTTTATTACGATATGCACAGTTTGACATGGCAATTTGAGCTAATATCGTTAGTAACCATGTCACCTTCACTCATTCATCACCTTAGCCTCCTCATTGTCTTTCTTCCCATCTCCGAGGCTATCCTCATCATTGCTGTGGCATCATCACGCTGCCTGTATCATGACACCCTCTGCCACAGGAACCACCCTCCACCACCCCATGTCTCGATCTCCATGTTGTCCTCACCTCTGCCACATCACCACACCTGCATCTGAGGGGGTGGTCCATCAGCCATCACAAACCTTGAGCATCTAAATACTTAATTCCTATTGCTTTACCTTGTTGAATTGATTGACCCATACACACAAACACACACACCCTAAAAATGAGAGTATTTAGTCACTGCTGTGGTGGTTATGGAGGGCTTGACTGGAGGGGGACCATAGGGAGCTCAGACCCAGACCTCCCTTGACTTCTAGAATTGGGGGTATAGAGAAATGAGGCAGATCCCACCACACCTCAGTAAAATCTCAGCCACCCTGATCCCCAGGTGAAGAGATATCTTATTCACTCAGCTTGCCTTAGTGACAAGGCAGTGTAGGACCGTGGTTGGCGATGTGCACCTGGGGGCTGCAGCACCCTGATTCCAGTCTTGGTTCTAGTACTTAAATAGCTGCGTGTGGCAGGTGGCTTAACGTCCCTGTTCCTCAGTTGCTGCATCTGCATTATGGAGATGAAAGCGTGAGTTATTCATTCAGCAAGTGTGTATTAAGCATGTTCTACATGCCCACCATTGTGGCACACTAGGCACTGGGGACACATCAGTGAACAAAACAGAGATTCCTGGCCTTGTGGAGTTTACATTCTAGCCGGGAAAAGAAACAGTAAGCAAGCAGGTAAGTAGATTATATAAGATGTGTTAGAAGAGGGATGGGGAATGCACAGTAAAGGTTGTAGTTTTAAATAAGTCTTAAATGTGGTTAAATAAGGTGGTCTGGGAAGGTTTTCTGAGAGGGTGACATTTGAACAAAAACTTGAAGGAGGGGAGAGAATGATGTCGTTTCCTGGGGGAAGAGCATTATAGGTAGAGGATACAGCAAATGCAAATGCTTAGAGTATTTAAGGAACAGCCAGGATGCCAGTGAGAGAGCAGAGGGGTGGGGGATGGGGGCAGATCACTGGGGGTCTTGTGGCTTTACTCTGAGTGAGGCAGGAGCCTGAAGAGTATTTGGAAGACAGGAGGGACACAATCTGATGTGATGTGATGTGACACAAAGCAGCAGCAGCTCCAGAACTTCTACCAAGAATAGACTGACAAGAGCAGCCCAGTTGGAGGGAGAGCCAGTCTCTTCTTAAAGATGCACTCACATACCCTTTATAATTGGAGAAAGCTGCGCCTCTCAGACTGTGGGAGGTGGGGTGGGGGGTTATTGGTAGAGCTTTTGAGAGGCCAAAGCTGCCTCTAGGTTCAGCTGCTGTTGGGGAGGGAGGAGGAAGGGCAGTTGGGAGGGTGGGCAACTACATACCTACAGAGGATGAACAGCAGGAAAGGCAGCTGTCTACACCTGGCCCCTGAGGCAGCTGGAAGTCAAATCCTGGCCCCACAGTTTCCTGGCTGTTCCTTTGTGCCAGTGACTCAACCTCTCTGGGTCTTCTGTTCCCTTACCTGTTAAGTGGGGCTGAAAAAGGACTATTGTGGGAATTCAGTACCTAAAGTGCCTGGTCAATAATCAAGAGGAACCCTCCCCTCTCGCCCTAGATCCTGCCCTTCTAAGTAAGGTTCAGTCCTCTTGCAAGGTGGGGAGGAACAGACATTCTGCCTTATTTTGTGTTCATGAATTGGTGTGACAGTGTAGTGTCCTGGAACAGAACTGAGCTCTGGGTTCAAATTCCCGGCCCACCCACCAGTGCTGTGCAACCAGGCCAACATCTCCCTGAGCCCAGCCACCTCAGCTGAAAGTCAGGGATGAGAGCCTCTTTGCCCCAGACGTGTGCTGGTGTTCGTTTGGAACTGAGACAGCCACTTCCAGTTGCGATGCCACCATCGCCCTCCCTGGCTTTATTTCTCTCCAAAGCATATACCATATGTTTCATTCATTTACCTATTGTCTCACTGCTCCCAAAAGAATGTCATCTTTACCAGGGATTTGTTTTTTTCCCTGTTTTGTGCTGTATCTCAGTTTCTGGACAGGGCTTATTAGCAAGTAGTCACTGAATAAATACAAGATAAATAAACTGGCCACTGAGCTCCTACTATGTGCTATCCTTGTGCTGGGTGGTACTGGGGGGCCGCCAGCTGTGCCCTCCTGGGTTTCACAGTCAGTGGGAGAAACAGACCCATCACCAGGCAGACAGCCAAGAGGGGTCAGGGCTGAGCTATGGGAAATACAGGCAGAGGGACCAGGGCTGCTATGGAGAAGCCCAGGGGATTGTTGGAACCCAAAGGGGTGCCTGAACCAGCCAGGAGGTCACAAAGGGCTTCCTGGAGGAGGTGTCACACACATCGTTAGAAATGAGCAACCTGAAGAGAAGAGAAAGGTGTACTGGGTGGGAGGAGCAACTGTGGGAAGTTTTGGTGGTGAAAGTGTGGTTTCAGTTCAAGGAACTGAAAGATAATTGAATATGGCTGGGGCATTCAGGTTGGTGAGAGAGTACACCAACAAGGTTGTTAGGGGAAGATTGTGTGGGGCTCTAGAAGCCCCAGTGAGGAGCTGAGACTTTGTCCTGAGAACCCAGGTGCCATGGAGAGGTTTTGAGCAGGGGAGGGACAAGTCAGACTCAGATGGAGTGGGAATTGGAAGGATTGATTGGAGTCATCAAGGCCACGGAGGGGAGAGATGAGGGGTGGGTGGGAGAGAACCTCAGGAGGCCAAGTAGACACATTGTAGAGGGCCTAGAATGAGGCTCAGGGTTCTGGGGAATCGGGGGGCTTTCTGGGGGAGGTGGCACACCGGCTGAGATGTGATGGATAGGTAGGGCAGCTGTCCTTGAAAAGGGGACCCAGTTGGAGGAGCAGGTTTAGGAGAGATGATAAGGACATTTGGGTGCATGGTAGGTGTGAGGGGCTCCAGGTGTCTAGGAGGGCCATGGCACTTCCAGAGCTGGAGTTCAGGGAAGAAGTAGGAGGTGGAGACAGCTCTGGAGTCAGGAGAACCATAAAGCTGTAATGGTGAGGAGGGTCTGCAGGGGCCTGTCCATGGAGGATCCCAGAGGATTTGGCAAGACATTTGCCCTTTGTCCTCAGGGCAAAAGGGGGGCCACAGAGGGATTTTGAGCAGGAATGGGACAGCTTAGATTTTTAAGTTCCAATTCAGAAGTATTCACCATTCATGATTTTTTTCTTTTTTTTTTATACCTATTTAATTGTTTTCCAGACCAATTATCTTCTCTCCCTTGAAGGGCACTTTCTAGGGATCCTTTGAAATAAAAGTTCTATTGCTAAAAACAAAACAAACAAATCGACAAAACCAGTGCTCTGTTCTGTTTTCTGTAGAGTTGACCGCAGACGATTGTTCAATCCAAAAGGGTGCTCAGTCAAGTGAAAACTGGCTCCCTTAAACATGAGAACTTTTCTGTTTTGAGCCACATGGAAGGGCCACAGGTTTGTAAATGTTGCCTGTGGTGTGACCTGGCCAGTGTTTCAAGTGTTCTTCAGCAGCTGATAGCCCCACACCTCCTTTGCACTCTCAGATGGCTTGAATTGACCTTGAATTTTACTCTCAGGCTAAGATGCTGTTCTCTGTCAATCCTATCTGCTCTGGGCTTAGAACAAGCTGGTTATCATTGTGTATTAAAAAAGACTCAGTAGATCTGGAGAGACACGTAAAAAAGTCTTTTCTCAAAGGTTTCCTTTCTAGTCCATTTCTTCGGTTTTCAACAAACATTTTTTGAGTGGTTACAGTGTGTGGGCTCTGGAGAGTAGAGGAATAAATCAGACACCAAATTTCAAGGGACACATAAAGTTTATCTGCAATAAAAGTGTATACAGAGTACTAGGGGGACACACAGATCTCACCAGCCAGCTTGTGTGGGGTATGTGTGCTACCTTCCTGCCGTGGATGGTTTCATGGACTTCCCAGAAATGTGAGGTTGGTATATTCATCTTCCCATTGTTCTGAGAATGAATGTGGGGCTCAGAGAAGGGAGCGCTCTTCCTAGTAAGGCACAGAGCTGAGATCTGAACCCAGGGGAGGAGCACAAACCATTCAGAGATCTCCAGTTACAGTCCCCAGTCAGATTGAACATGATCCCTCCTTTTATAGATGAGGCCACCAGGGCTCAGAGAAGTAAAGCCCCAAGCCTGAGGTCACTCAGTAAGAAAGTGGCAGAGGTGGGATTTGAACCCTGGACTCTCCAATCTAGAGCACTCCAATGGAGGAGGGATCAAATCTTCCATGCGACCCTCACCCAGGGTGGGGTGTTTGGGGAGCTGTGACTGCAACACATCTCAAAGCCCAGTGGGTTTTGCTTCCTCCTTTTTCACCTGCTGTGGTGTCATGTCCCCCAGGGCAGGCAGGGCACAAGCCAATGAGATGGGGGCATTCTGTGGATTGGGAGAGGGCACACTTGCTGGTGGAGGTACATCCCACTTCAGTGAGGAAGCAGAGCCTACAAGCCCATCTGAGCTTTAAACTGGAGCCCCGTGAGGGTTCTAGGTTCCTGGGGACACAGGAACTGAGCCGAACTGAGGTCAGTGCCAGCACCCACCAGCCTGGCTCTGCCCTTGCCCACCTTCAGTTCCCCCTTGCCCTGCCCTCCCTGCCAGGGATCTGGGGATGGGAGTGCTGGATACTAGTCCAGCTGAGGCTACAGCCCTTTTCTCGAGACTGGGATGTGGGGGAAGGGGCACCTGTGGGGGAAGGCTAGGAGCCTGATCCTCATAATTTCCAAAGAAGTCCTATGTGCATTTTAAAAAATGAAATAGTAAAGGCCAACAATGAAAAGCAACCATCTTGCCTGGGAACAGGGTAGGAATACCTTTCCCTTTCATTTGGCTGTTATGGAGTCTTGACACAATCACATTTACTGAGATCATCCTGTATGCCCATTCTGTGTACTTGATATGTACGAATTCCTTTAGTTTACTTGGAAAGATTTTAGACATCTTAAATTTTATATGTTCAAAACACACACATTATTTATTTGTTTACAGCCTTTTCCCCAAACTTGCTTCTCCTCTATTGGCACCTCCATCCTTGCAGTTGCTCAGGATGGAAAGCTTTCTTTACCTGAAGTCCACGTGCAGTCCATTAAAAACTCCTTTCTTTACTTGAAATCCACATGCAGTGCATTAAAAATGGCATTGGCTCTACCTTCAGGTTATACCCAGACTCTCTACTCTTTGCCCCTTGGCTGCCCCCACCCTAGTCCTGTCCACCTTACTTCCTCCCTGGGTTCCCTGCTCCCAACCCCATACCCTCCAGCCCTGCTCTCGTCTGTCCCCCCACATAGCCAAAGGGAGCCTGTAAATACCTGTATTGGTTCTCCAGGGCTGCTGTAACAAATCAGCACAAACCAAGTGGCTTAGACAACAGAAATTTATTCTTGCTCTGGAGGACAGAAGTCCAAAACTAGGGTGTTAGCAGGACCATACTCCCTCCAAAGACTAGAGGACATTCCATTCCAGGCCACGCCCAGATTTTGATGACCTCAGGCATACCTGGGTTTGCAGCCACATCAGGCCATTCACTGCCTCACTGGTCACATGGTCTTTTTGTCTTTACTATCTCATTCAGAGACACTTGTCACTGGATTTAGAGCCAGATAATCCAGGATCTCATCCCCAAATCCTTAATTACATCTGTGATGACCCTTTTCCCAAATATGGTCACATTTACAAGTTCTTGGGGTTATGCCCACATTGGGCTTACCTTTTTGAGGCCACCATCAAACCCACCAAAATACCAAAGACAGATCATGTCCGTCTTATGCCAGGAACCTACGGTGGCCCCATCCTTCTCTTCACAGTCCAGGCAGCCCTGCATGATCTGGCTCTGTCACCTCTGACTTATCCTCTCCCTCTCCCCGCCACCCGCCACCCGCCACCCACCACTACAGACATACTGGCCTCTTTGCTCTATCATGTCTACATCAGGCCCACTCCTGCCTCAGGGCCTTTGTACTGGCCATTCCCTCTGCTTGGAATCCTCTTCCCTAAGAAGTCTACATATCGCCTTCCCTCCCCTCCTTGATGTTTTTTTAAATCATATCCCTTTCTCATGGGCCTTTCCTGACCTTACTCAAAATTACAATCCTGATCCCATCCTTTCCCTGTCCCTCTTCCCTGATTGTCTAGTAGCACTTATTACCTTCTAACATAATCTTCCTTATTTTTTGTCTGCCTTCTGTCAACTCTGATTTGTTCACAGTGGTATCCCCAGTGCCTAAAACAGTATCTGGTGCACACATAAATATATGTGAAGTTAATGAATGGCCTTATGAAAAATAGGTGCTGTTACCATGCCTACTTCACAGATGGGGAAACTAAGGCACCAACATATTGCCACTTCTCAAGATCAGACAGTCATGTAAGTGCTGAGGCTCATGAAATCATACATCTGGCTTTGGAACCCACAGTGTGAACTGCCTCTCCAGTATAATCCTGTCTAAACCACCTCCCCCAGTACCAGTTTTCTTTTTAAATACTGTAGGTGCATTGCTTGACAGAAATACAACAAATTAAAATTAAACCCATCATTACAGACATGTAGTCACTGTACAATTTGAAAGCCAAAGGTCACTTAACAATTTGAATGAATGCCATGGATATTCTATTTTTGGTTTATTAGTGGCCATCCCGGTTCCATGGCCTCACCGCGTGCTGTGCCATGCCTTACGTCTCCACTTTTGGTTCATTTTATATTCCCTAAGTTTCACATCACCTGCTGTTACGACCCCATATTCTTAAAGCATTTCTCACCAAGGCTTTCACAAATTCAATAAAAGCAAGAAGTATTTCCTGCCCCACATCTCCCCTACCCCACCCCACAAACCTGCCATCAGTCACCTCTAAGACTTACCTTCTGCTGCTTCGGCTGTCCTCTGGAGTTCCAAATAACCTTGGCCTGTTGCTGTTCCTTGCTGGGTCCATTTGTCTCCCCATTTGTCTCCCAGCAGTGAGAAGACAGAATCTAGTGGTGCTCTGCCCTTGCCAATCTGGGATCAGACATTCGCAGGAAGGAGTTTCCAAACTATCCTTTCAGATCTAGGCTCGGTCTTGCGGTGAAAGGAGAACCCAGCTCCCACCTGGAATTTCCCTTTCCTTCCCCGTTCTTTTTTACAATCAGTAATGCGTGCACGTGCTTTTCTTTTTTTTGAAAGTGACCAAACTTGGGACGCAACACGTGTTGGCTTTATAATTGTTTCGCAACCAGCACAGAGATGTGTTCTCTGCATTTACGTGTCACGATTTTAGAAAGTAAAATAGGCTTACAATAGAAAGCAATCCTGACCCGCCCCCAAATCCCACTCTCAAGGCAACCACTTCGGACGCTGTTGCTTCTCTCAGTAATAATCCTTTCCTGCATTTATCTGTTGACTCCCAGCCAGGATGAGGAAGGGGTCCTGCCTCTCTCTCACTGAAAGAGGTGGGCGGGTAGGGGTTCTCCAATTTGTTTCCAGCTGTGGTGTTAAATCCTGCTTGGGAGATAGGAGCTGGGAGCTGGGAACCTTGCTTACCCCTCCAGCCCCAGAACCTGGATTTCAGAAACAGAAAATGTTTAAATCTTATCAAAATACCATTTGGCTTTTTTCTTTAAATCAGACACTGTAGTCCAAACAGACTCCCAACAGAAAACCTACTGTATCCATATCCCACTGGCTCTTCCCCTCCCATAGCGTGGGCTGTACCTTCTGATTTTATCGCTACATCTAGAAATCATTTTATTCAACCTCGATCTCTCCATTTTATTTTGTCTTGTAATCATCAGTTTTATTTATGTATTTAATTTTGACTAGGTAATACACGCCCAAGGTACAAAAATTCACAAGGTTTGTAGATGAGAAAAGATGTGGGGTTCCTTTATCCCTTTACCTGTGCCCTTCCTACCCCACACTGGGGCTCTGGGGTGGGGTGTGGCAAAGACCATCCCTTAGCCATCCCTTAGTACTGTCTCCACCCGGGCCAGGTTGGCCAGACCGCATTTAGGGGACGCGGCCCCCCTCTTCGCTGCGGTGTGCCAGGGCCGGCAGGCCAAGTGCGCAGACTCCCCGCTGCAGTGGGCGGTGCCTACTAGGGCCCCGCCTCCTGCCTTCTCCCGCTCCGGCTCAGCCTGTTGGGGCAGAAGCTGGGGCCCCGCGGAGGTAGCAGCTGCCGCCTGCCGAGTAAGGCCGAGGCCCCCTCAGGGTAGGATGGAAGAGGAGGGCTAGGGGGATGGAGTGAAGGCTGGCGGGGAGGCCACAATAGTCCCGGGCTCCAGGGCTGACCTGTCTGATGGGTACCTGACGGTGAGGGCAGAGGAACCACCTGGAAAATGCCCCCTTGGTAGTCCTAGCGCTGGGAAAAGCCAGGCAGAAAGCTCTGGGGCTCGGCTGGCCCCATCCGGAGCTGTCTTTTTTAATGTCTAGAGCTCAGAGTCAGAAAGCTCATGGGGAGTGCTAATATGGGAGCATCAGTGTAGGCACTAATGAGGGGCAGGGTGGGCGATAAAGGATGGCAGGGTGACCACCACAGAGTGAGGGGAAGAAACAGAGGCATTGGACCTTGAAGGATTTCGAAATCCCTACTGACCAGCAGCCAGCTTCCTCCTTTTGGAGTGTCAGGCACTGTGCCAGTGGCTCCCATGATCTCAGGCAAGGAGACCCAGGGGATCCTGTGAGCCCTAGAACTGATCTGCCTTCTGTGATGTCCCCCAAAAGCCCAGAGCATCCCACACAGTGCCAGCTTTTGTTCCCTGCAGTTTGGCGAGCCTGACACACCCACTCTCCCACCTGGACTCTGCGTATCTCCTGGCTGCCTGGCAAGATGAAGCCTAAACTGATGTACCAAGAGGTAGGTGAACGGAGGGTCCAGAGGGGAGGGGCTGGCTGGGTGGAGTGGAGGGTAGGGCCCCACTGAGCTGTCCTGTCACCCCACACACACCATCCCCATGCCCTAGTTGAAGGTGCCTGTTGAGGAGCCTGCCAATGAGCTGCCCATGAATGAGATTGAAGCATGGAAGGCTGCAGAGAAGGTAGGAGCTCACCGCCACCCTCACTGTGTCTCAATAACGGGCCTGGCCACCCCCTTTGGGCTGTCTGATTGCCTCTTCGATCCCACAGAAAGCCCGTTGGGTCCTGCTGGTCCTCATCCTGGCAGTTGTGGGCTTTGGTGCCCTGATGACTCAGCTGTTTCTATGGGAATATGGCGACTTGCATCTCTTTGGGCCCAACCAGCGCCCAGCCCCCTGCTATGACCCCTGCGAGTAAGTTGAGGGGGAGCCTTGAATGATCGGGGGAGAGGGTCTGCACTCAGCCACACCCAGTGCCGGTGACAGAGTGAGGTGATCGCAGAATCCCCAGTGTACCCGCAGAGGATCTTCCCTCCATGCCCACTCCCTTCCCCCACACTGTTTCCATGGCAGCCACAGCACCATCTTCTCTCCAAGTCTGTGAACAGACAGGCTCACACAGACATACACGGCATCTTCCATACACGTCTACAAACAGACACACATGTATCCTACACACAACCTTTCTTCCATACCTCCAGACAGATGCACAGACATACACAGTATCCATGAGTTCAGACACACACAGATACACACGGTCTTGCATCCTCCATGGTCAGACAGGTGAGCACTCACATGCCAGCCTGTTGTCTCTGGCTCCCAAAGGCTGATACCACCCCCCTCCTTCCAGAGTAGTGCTGGTAGAGAGCATTCCTGAGGGCTTGGACTACCCCAATACCTCCGTGGGCAACCCCTCCACCAGCCAGGCCTGGCTTGGCCTGCTCGCCAGTGCTCACAGCAGCCTGGACATCGCCTCCTTCTACTGGACCCTCACCAACAATGACACCCACACTCAGGAGTCCTCTGCCCAGCAGGTACCTGGCACCCTGGGCCCTGGTTGGCAGCAGGGGTGGTGGGAGACATGGGGTGGTTAAAGGGGGGTCCCCTGCGCCCGGGAGCAGGTGCGCATGTCTCACACAGCAGAACTGACGCAGGTGTTTGGAAGCAACTGTTTTCACATGGTCCTCTGGGCCGGGGGCGTTTGTCACAGTCATCTGAAAGCCTCTGAATGTCAGGGTATGGGTTTGGTTACAAGGGATTATGCCAGCAGATGTCACTCACCCACAGGCTGCCCCAACCCTGTCACAAAATATGGAAGAATGGAGTAATAGCCCAGCCCCAAGCCAGGCTGCCACTTCCCAGCTATGTGACCTTGCGCAAGTCACCTCACCTCTCAGGCTTCAGTTTCCTCATGTGTAGAATGGGGCCAATATATGCCACCCATCTCATGAGCATGAAACTGGGGCTGATCCATGCAAAACATGACATAGAGTCAGCCCACTATAAATGTTTGCTGTTAGGTCCTTGTTAAGGTCTATAAACTTAAAAAACAAAATTTCAATATTTGAAAATGAACAGCCTTGGTGGATAACCCTTTCATTGAAAAAAACAATGAATTTGTCCTTTTTTCCCCCTTCCCTGCTGCCTCCTTTTGTCAGATGTGGACTTAAAATGTATTAAAATTGGGCTCCTCAAGCATTGCCTGAAAAAATAATTACAAAGGTTCACACTGATATGAGTTCCCACTCCCTGCTGGCTCCCACCGGAGTGGTTCAAAGCACAAAGCACAGACATAGGAGGCAGAAACGGTCTGGATTCCAGTGCTGCTTCACCACTGGGTCCTCTGGTGCTCAGTGTCCTCATCTGCACCTCGGGGTTCGTTCTCAGACCTGCCTCATCGGTGAGAGGGCTGAGAATTCAGTGGTTCAAGTGTGAAGGGCTTAGATGGGCCAACTCAGGACTCACTGACTCACAGTAGGGAATAGCTGGCTGTCATTATTACTGTTACTGGCGTCATCAAGCCTCACCCATACCTTCCCAGACCCCTAGCCTGTGCCATACCCCCAACATCCTATAATGGGCCTGGAGACCCATGGGGAGGCAGACATTGATACTTCAAAGACGGGATTTTGGGAAGGTCCCTGGAAGGGTAGGAGTGACAGGGAGGCCCTGATGGGGCCTAGAGCAGCAGGCTGGTTATTAAAAGAGTTAAAGTTTTAATACCTTAACTTGTCAAGCTCTCCCTAGGCGTGCTGGCTAATGCAAAGTTTGCTTACTCCTGATCACATCTCAAAACCCAGTCTCAAAATAGCTCCATGGGGGTGCTGCATAGGGTTGGTGAGCTTGTGGCCCAGCCTCTCAGAGGCTTTTCCCTCCCCCCAGGGCGAGGAGGTCCTCCGGCAGCTGCAGACCCTGGCACCTCAAGGTGTGAAGGTCCGTATCACCGTAAGCAAGCCCAACGGGCCCCAGCCACAGGCAGACCTGCAGGCCCTGCTGCAAAGTGGTGAGCTGGGGGGAGCTGGGGTCCGGCTGGGCCTGGGGCTGCCCAAGCTGGCCCCTGACCACCATCCTTGTCGGTTACAGGTGCCCAGGTCCGCATGGTGGACATGCAAAAGCTGACCCATGGTGTCCTGCACACCAAGTTCTGGGTGGTAGACCAGACCCACTTCTACATTGGCAGTGCCAACATGGACTGGCGCTCACTGACCCAGGTCTGCCTGCACCCTGACCAACTGCCCTTCCATGCTATTCTCTGTCCTACAGGGCACTCAGCCTCCAACTGCACCCCTCTATTCCCAGAGTCCTCTCTATCCAGTCTCTGCAATGGCTTCCTCCCCACCTCCTACCAGGCCTCCCTAAATACCCCTAAATCCAGCCCCGCTCTGCTCATGGTAGCCTAGGGTTCCCTCTGATCCCTAATGGCAGCTGCCAGCTCCACTACAGGGAATTCAAGGCCCTGTCCACCCATTTGGCCTTCATTATTAATTACGAGTGCATGCCCTAAGCCCAACCCCATTCTAGGTGACATTGGGAACATGGCAGTAGCAGGTGGGCCTCTTGGAATTTCCAGTCCAGGGCAGAGACAGGCTAGTCACCAGGCAGTGTCCACCCAGGGGGTTAAGGCTGCAAGGGGGAAAGAGCAGAGGGGGTCAGGGCCAAGATGGGGGACCCAACCTGGGCTGTCAGGTTTTCCAAAGAAAGTGACAACTGATGAGACCTGAAGGATCTGCAGGAGTTACAGCAAGGCAGGAAACAAGGTACAGCCCATCACAGCACAGCAGCTATGGCAGGGCTCAGAGGGGACTGAGGGGCAGAGGGAGGAGACAGAGACAAGGGAGACTGAGGGGCAAGGAGGCAGAAGAGGGGCCAGGGGGCAGGGAGTGGGGGGCTGGAGGTGTCCGTCCCATCAGTGGGCACCAGGCCCCTACCCCTGGGCTCAGCACTGCCCTCCCACAGGTCAAGGAGCTCGGTGTGGTCATGTACAACTGCAGCTGCCTAGCTCGAGACCTGACCAAGATCTTCGAGGCCTACTGGTACCTGGGCCAGGCAGGCAGCTCCATCCCGTCAACCTGGCCTCGGCCCTACGACACCCACTACAATCAAGAGACACCAATGGAGATCTGCCTCAATGGAACCCCTGCTCTGGCCTATCTGGCAGTGAGTCTGAGGGAAGAGGGTCCTGTCACATGCTGGCCACGTGCTACCACTCAGAGCCTCCATCTGTCCCTGCCCAGTGACTGGTGGGGACGGGGGGCCTGACCACTAGCCCTCACTCCTGCTCACTCTGCTTAGTCAGCAGCCCGAGCTCTGTCCCAATTTCTTCAGGCCTCAGTTTCCTCTAGAAAGTGGGTCTCATAATATTTACAACCTCTTAGTGCTGGTGGGGAGGCACGGCTTGGTTCATGCCTGTTGAGCCCCTGCTGTAGCTCCATGCTGTCCAGTATAGCCACACAAGGCTCTTTCCATTTAAGTATATTAAAACTAAATACAGTTGAATATTCATTTCTTCAGTTGCACCAGCCATACTTCAGGTGCTCAGTAGCCACATGGAGCAAATGGCTGCCACAGTAGACAGTGCAGATGTAGAACATTTCCATCATTGCAGAAAGTTCTGTTGGCCAGTGTCAGCTATTGCCCCTGGCAGATACTGAGCACTCTAGACAAGGCGCTGCTGTCTCTAGCTGTTGATATTCTCACTAGTTGGGGTGGCCAACCTGGGTCCTTTAAAGTCCCCCCGAGCAAGTCACCTGGCCAAACCCAGAGTCAGTGGGGAGGGCTGCACAAAGTCGTGGATATGGGAACACATGATGCACTGAGGTCCTTTGCCCCAGTGGTCTCCCATAACCACTTCTCCATTTCAGAGCTTGCGTTTGCTCTTCTGTCTTAAGGATGGAGGAAACTGGGTAAAGGGCCTGACGAGGCACAGGCACATGAGACGTGCCATCAGAGTGGGCTGTGAGCACAGGTCCTCAAACCTGAGCATGCATCAAAAGCACTGGGAGGGCTTGCTAAAACCCAGATTCCTGGGTTCCAGCCCAGCACCCTGACTCTGCCCTGTGCAGCGATGCCCGAGAATTTGCAGTTCTCACAAGTTCCAGGTGCTGCTGGACTGGTGACCTTAATGTGATGAGCCCCTGCATTAGAGCATGAATTCTGGAACCAGACAGCTTATATTAAAATCCTGGCTCCATTTATCAGCTGTGTGACCTTATGCAAGTCACTTACCCTCTCTGAGCTTCAGTTTCCTCACCTGCAAAATGGACACGGTGATTATCCCTCTCCCTGCTGGAGACCGAGGATTCAGTGAGACCCACAGGACCAGGCTTTGGTGATCTGTCCATACATGGGATCCACTGTGTTGCACCCCTGGCAGGGCACCTATCAGACGTGTTTTGACTGTCCCATTACCCTCAGAGTGCGCCCCCACCACTGTGTCCAAGTGGCCGCACCCCAGACCTGAAAGCCCTGCTCAATGTGGTAGACAATGCCCGGAACTTCATCTACATCGCAGTTATGAACTACCTGCCCACCATGGAGTTCTCCCACCCACGCAGGTACTGCTGGGCATGTGGGCAGGGCCTGGGCCGTGGAGCCCAGTGGGAGAGGGCATGGGAGAGGGAGTGATGGGGCTAAAGCAAGAGGACAGATGGAAGCGGCAGGGGAGACAGGGACAGGGGGCACTTGAGACACAGGAAAGGGGACAGAAAAAGATGAGGATACTGGGGATGAGGGTCAGGGATGGGAGGCTGGAGGCGCAAGGGATGCGGGATGTGGGGCTTTTGGAGTTAGGAAGCAGGGAGCATGAGCTGAAACAGGATGAGGGCCTTGGGGTCAAGGGGCTCTCGGAAGTTGAAGCAGGGCCCCGGCCCGGCTGTCTAAAGCTGATGGTGAGGCCTGTGGATAAAACCGCCCTCCAGATCTTGCATCCTCCTTCCCAAGGTTCTGGCCTGCCATTGACGATGGGCTGCGGCGGGCTGCCTACGAGCGGGGAGTCAAGGTGCGTCTGCTGATCAGCTGCTGGGGGCACTCTGAGCCGTCCATGCGGGCCTTCCTGCTCTCCCTGGCTGCCCTGCGTGACAACCACACCCACTCGGACATCCAGGTGGTAAGCACCTGCCCCAGTGTGGAGCAGTACTGAGGACACAGCCTTAGGAGAGCTCACCTGCCATCTGACAGGGACAACCCAGAGTGGGGATGGGGAGACCACTCTGGAGACCCCATGGCTCAGGGCCAGGATGGGAAGCGGACACAGGCAGCAGTCAGGGCCAGGGTAGGGGATGGCTAGAGCAAGCCCCTGTCTCAGCTGGAGGGGTCGAGGAAGACCATCTGTGAGAGGGGACATTGATAGATAAGGGCCATTCCAGAGAGAACGGGTTGCAATGAGGTGGCTGGGTCCTCCTTTTCAGCCAGTGTTTACTGACACCCACTCTGCCAGGCTTTGTTCTGGCCCCGAGGGTTCCACGGGAAGCACCGAGTCCTGTTCCACTCTCCACCTAATACTCTGGGGCTCCTCCATCCCCACCCTCCATCTCATGCCCTCCCCATTTTTCCCTCCCCCTCAGAAACTCTTTGTGGTCCCTGCGGATGAGACCCAGGCCCGAATCCCATATGCCCGAGTCAACCACAATAAGTACATGGTGACCGAACGTGCCACCTACATTGGTGAGTGTCCCCAGCACCACTGGGGAGATAGAAGGTGGGTCTAGGCACTGCCATAGACCCTGACTCTCTGCCCCCAACCCTGTAGGAACCTCCAACTGGTCCGGCAGCTACTTCACAGAGACGGCGGGCACCTCGCTGCTGGTGACACAGAACGGGCGGGGTGGCCTGCGGAGCCAGCTGGAGGCTGTTTTCCTGAGGGACTGGGACTCCCCTTACAGCCATGACCTTGACACCTCAGCCGACAGTGTGGGCAATGCCTGTCGCCTGCTCTGAGGCCTGCGAGGCCCGCATGGACCCAGATTTCCTGGGTCCTGGTCCCCACCCCCATGCCCCCGCTTCTGCCCACCCCACTGTGGCTTCACAGGCTCTCCCCTGCTCTCCCATCTCTACCTCCACCCCCGCGGGCCTGATGCTGTGGCCCTGGGACCCAGCTGAGCTGGGGGAGGGATCAGCCCCTGAAGAAGTGGGAGTGCATGCTGGGCCTGGCCCCTTGGCCCACCCCCCCTTCCAGGGCACAGAGGGCCCGAAGTTATAACAAGAAGTAAATAACTTGTCTGTATAGCCTGTGCCTGACTGAGTAGTGTGAGGTGGGGTGTCAGGGTAGGGGACAGCTGGCATGGGCCTCTGGTGGAGACATCTTACGGTATGCTGAGCCCTCAGAGTGTGACCAGAGTGGTTTGGCCTATAGCAAACCCTCAGCATGTAATGCATGTGAGCCAGTGGGTGCCGAGCATGCAGCGTGTGACCGTGTGGGCTGGCATGAACTGAGCCCTTATGTAGCCAGCATGAGATAGCACGTGCTACACACTCAGTGTGTCCCCAGCCAGATAAGCATGCACGAACTATCAGCATATCCCAAGGGAAGACTCACATTGGAACGCTAGAGCACACGCCAAGCATGGAATCACCCCTGCCCAGTGCATTTACACTTAGCATGGCCTGAGCATGGATGAGTGCATAACATGTGGTAAGGACAGGTCAACATAATAAGACCTTGGCATCTGGCAAGCTCAGATTGACACCTGCTGAATGCTGAGAATGTTCTGAGTGTGGATTCTCGCATGCCAAGCATTTAGTGTATCTAAGGATGGGTCAGTGTGCCAAGCACACCTTGTCCTCAGTGTAATGGCAGCCCAGCCTCCAGCCTGAGCCAATGGCCAACTAGGTGCAGCATCAGAGAGCAGGGTCCTGGGTGCCAGCCTGAACCCCACCCCAGTAACAATCCATGCCTCAAGCAGGGAGAACAGGTAGGCAGGGCTGCCGGACAGTCTTTATTGAAATGGGCAGAAGCAGCAAGGGTGGAAGGTGTGCTCAGGACCAGCAGGGAGCAGCCATCCCCCTTCCTGTGTCCCTTTGGCTGAGGAGGCCATGGGCCAGACCCCAAGGCCCTTCTGTGTTTGTGGCAGTGGGGAGGTGCAGGCATGGGCAGGGGGAGTGGGGAATTTCTGAATAATTATCTGTAAGAATAATTTGTGGGTTCAGAGGATGGCTCTGAAGAGGGGATGCCATCCCAGCTGGCTCAGCCTGCAGTGATGGGCTGGGGTGGGGTCACCAGTGCCCACCAACATGCTATAGAAAGCTGGTGGCCTGGGGTGGGCCATGCGGAAGGGTATGGCAGGGCTGGAGCCCCTGGGTCTGTGGCCCCCTGATGCCCTCCAAGATCCAGTCCGGCTCACTCAGCCATTCCCCAGGACAGCTGCTGTGGTTGAAGAGCTCAGGGCCTGGCCCCTGTGGGGGAGGAGAAGAGAAGGCTATCAGCCAAGAAGCCCCCAGCACTGGGAACCAGCAGCCTGCCATTCATGGACCCTCCCTGGTCCCAGCTGAACCTTACCTCAGCATCCATGGTCATATCCTTGACGTCCAGTCCATCCCTGTCCTGCTGTGGGGTGGTGGGCAGCTTGGCAGAGGCCCCATGGCGCTTGCCTTCTGCCCAGCTGCTGCCCTGGCAGGGCCCGTCGTCTTCAGGGGAGGCCTGGCTCAGTCGGATGAGGTTGCTGAAGTTGGAGTCAGACTTGGAGCTGGCAGGTGGCTTGCGGGCCTTGTGGCCGGCCAGGCGCCTGCCATAGAAGGCCAATATGGGCTCAGGGCCTGCGTCAGGCCCCCGGCACGCAGCAGCAGCTGCCTTGAGCGGGGCCAGCATGTTGGGGATGTCAGTGCTGGTCTCACCCCATGGCCCACAGCTCGCCTCCTCCAGACTCAGGCCATCCAGCTGATCAATGGCCCTTTCCATGCTTGGGACCTTCTCATGGAAGAAAGGCACACTGCCCATGCCTGTAGCCTCCTCCTCCTCAGCCAGACAGTAGTAGGGGGGCCCATCGTCAGCAGCGGCCACAACAGGCATGGGTGGCTTGCCCTCCACCTGCAGTGAGAGGTGGCAGCCACGCAGCGAGAGCTGGTAGTAGTGGGTGGTCTTGTGGGCACTGCGCAGCTGCTGCATGGACACGAAGGGGTGGCACAGGGCTGCACTGGGGCTGATGCGCTCGTGGGACTCCCATGTCAGCATGCGCTTGATCAGCTCCACCATGCTCTTGAGGTCGGCGTGCTCTGCCAGTGCCTCGCGGTCTGGGAAGGAGAGCCTAGTGGCTACCCTGCCACTGTTCACTGTCTTAATCTGGTCCAGTGACTTGAGCATGTACTTGCGGCGCTCCAGTGGGGGCACCTGGTGGGACACAGTGGACACAGGGTGGACAGGGCCTCGTGGCAGCCTCAGGCCCCAGGCACTCACTCCTGCAATGGGGCCCACAGCTTCCAGTCTGTCCTCCAGCCTGGCCCAGGGCTCTCTTGTTGCTATGACGTCCCCACATCTGAACGCTGACTTCCTGTTCTGCCCATGATCTGACTTGGAGCTCTCTTGCTGGTGGAAGGGACACTCCTGCTTCCTGACACCAGACCCCTCTAGTCTAAATACAGAGCCCTTCCTATGTTCCTTCTGCTGCAGGAAAGATACCTACTGCTCTTTGGTCATCCCATCATCTAACCCAGCACTATCACTGACTCAAATTTTCACACCTCACCCCAGACCCCACATTTTCTCTGTGGTCTAACCCAGATTCCTCAAGCTACATGAGTTTGCCTGACTGCAGATCTGGTCTGGCAAAGAAGCTGCCCTAACCTTCCTGTCACACTTGTGGGATCACCCAAATAGATATCTCTTGGTACAAGAACCCCTACATCTGACCCTAAACTTCCAGTCCCACTTCTGGTCTCACCCACATCTTTCTTGCTGTCAGAACCCCTACAGCCAACCTCAAGCTTCCAGTCCTCTCTGAGGTCTAACCTAGATTTTTTTTTCTTGATGCCGCAGCCCTCACCCAACCTGCCCTTCCTACCTTGGTCTCGGCCAGGTAGTCGGCTGAGGACTTGAGCTGCCAGGGGTTCGTGGCATCAGGGTAGGGATTGCACTTGAAAAAGTGGAGGGCCTTGGGGGCGTTATGCAGCAGGTGAGGCTTCGGCAGACCCTGCGTCTCACAGATGTAGCGCACCTGGTCATACTCGCTGTTGCCTGGGTAGAGGGGCCAGCCCAGGTGCAGCTCAGCCATGATGCAGCCCAGGGACCACATGTCTATCTTCTCACAGAAGGGCAGCCCCAGAAGAATCTCGGGGGCCCGGTAGAAACGCGACTGGATGTATGGCTCCTTCACATGGCGCACCTCACTGAAGATGCTGGCTGAGCCGAAGTCAATCACCTGTGTCGGGGAGGGAGGCATGTGGGCAGGGCACTGGGCTCTTGCCCGTGTCTTTCTGCACCTGCCATCTGACTGTCACTGAGTCTTTATCTTGTTTCTGTCCAGGTCTGTCTCCACCAGCCTGTCTGTCTCTGTCTCTCTCCATGAGAACATATGCCTTTGGGGATTGGGGTCCCGATCTCTCGCTCACCCTACACCTTGTCCACTAGCAAATCTTGTTGGCTCCACCTTCTGAACGGATCAGAATGCGTTCACTCTGCATCCTATCTGTGGCCCCCAGCCTGGTCCTGTCCGTCATCTCGGCCTAGACCAACACAGGGGCCTCCAGGCTGGCCTCGCTGCCCCTCCCCTCTGCCCTGGCCACTCCCTGCAGAGCTCCCTGGAACGCCTGAGCCAGGCCATGCCCCTCCCTGTGGCTTTATCACATCCAGTGAGAAAAACCCAAGTCCTTAGGGAGGCCTTGAGGCCCTGGCACTCTGGCCCCTGGCCTCCCCTCCCTCAGCTCCTCCCATACACCCCCAACTCACCCTGCTCCAGCCCTGTGGGCCTCTCACGGTCCTTGAACAAGCACACCCCTTCCCAACTCAGGACCTTGCATTGGCTGTTCCTCTGCCTGGAATGCTCTTTGCCCAGAGGTCCACACAGGCCCTCTCTCACCATCTCAGGTCTTTATTCAAATGTCACCTCAGTGAGGTTCCCCCCTACCCAACCATCCTCTTGAAAATGACCTCCCCCACCTTTTCTAACCCACTTCCTAGCTTTTCTCTAGAGCTCTCAATACCATTCCACATATTACAGATTTTACCTTTTTACCAAGTTGTTTCTCTACCAAACTAGGATGTCAATCCCTTGAGGACAGGGATTTTTGTCTGTTCATTGCTGAATCCCTAGGTGCTTAGAATAGTGCCTGGCACTATTCTAGTGTGAATGAAAGAATGAATGGGCTTTATATCACTGTCCTTCTCTTTCTGTCTTGTTTGTATCTTCCCCTTCTTCTTTCTTTGCCGCCCCATTGCTTATCTGTATCTCTCATCTCTCTCCATCTCCATCTCTGTGTCGCCCACTAGAAAGACATCTCCCTGAAGCCCAGGTCCTTCTCCGTCTTCATCAGACCCTCTTAACACCATACCCTGGCCCTTGGCGCATGACAGGTGCTTGACGAATGCCTGTTGAACTAACACAGTGAGTGGCTCAAGTCTGTGTCTCCTGCTGCCTCTGGGAGGAGCTGTCATTTTCACTCTGAATCTCTGATGCTCTGTCTTGATCCCTACCTTGAGTTCCCTGAGTTTCTCTGCTTTTCATTCAGCCATCCCTCACCTTCTATTTGCAGAAGGCAGTATGACAAAATGCTTATGAATCTGGACTCTGAATGCAGATGTCCAAGACATGAATCTCAGAGAGCCTGGGCGACTCTGGGCATCATTCATTCATTCACCCCACAGACCTGGCAGAGGCACTAACACTAGCCAGGTGTTATGAGTCTGTCCTGTCTCCTGCTGTGTTTGTAGGAGTCTCTCCTTCCTTGGGTCTCTGGATTTCCATCTCTCAAGGCAGAATGATCTGTCTTTTCCCATCTCTGTATCTCTCTGTGTCTCTGACATTCATTTAGCACTGCCTTCACAACAGCACTGTGCTGGGAGATGCTGAGGACACAGTGGTGACCAAAGCTGCCCTGGCTCTGCCCTCATGGTGCTCCTGGTTCAGACCCACCACAGAACAGCCACAAAACCAGCAGCAGACAGAGGGGTCAGGGTGGGGCGGGGGTCACAGGCAGAAGGGTCAAGGTGGGATGGTGGGGGCACAGGCAGAGGGGGTCACGGCCAGGATGGAGGAACACAGAGGCCTGTGGCAGTGCAAAGGAGGTGCCTCTGTGTGCCCAGCGCAGGGTCAGGCCCAGAGCAGGCACTCAGTAAATGTTTGTCAATGAGCAAACTCGTGATGAGGAACAGTGCCACCATCTTTACAGCTGCTCAGCCCAACAGGCCTCCATTCCTGTCCAGGGCCTCTCTTACACTTCACATAAGATCTGTCAGCAGCTCCAAAATCTACCCGGCATCTACCCACGACCCCTCCTCCCATAACCCTGACCCCAGTCCCCTCATCCATGTCTCCCCATGGACCAGTATGGTCACCCCTCACAGCCTGTTCCCCTCATGCAGCCAGAGGGGCCCTGTGAACACCCAAGTCAGAGAACATCCTTCCTCTGCTCAGGAGCCTCTCATGGCTCCAACTTACACAGAACAAAACCAAAGTCCTCTGCTGTGGGCCACAGGCCCTGCTGCCCTGTCACCTCCCTGATCCCAGTTCCTGTCTTCACACCTCAGTCATTCTGCTTCAGCCACACTGGCTTCCTCAGTGCTCCTCATACACATACACTTGGCTCACTTCTACCACAGGGCCTTTGCACTGGCTGCTGCTTCTACCCACTTTGCCCCCAAATGTCTACATGGCTTCCTCCCTCCTCCAGGACTTTTCTTAGATGTAACCTTCTCAGTGAAGCCTCCCTGACCACCTCATCTACGGTTTTACTCACTCGCCACCACCCCCATCAGTACCCCACATCCTCCTCCTGCTGACTTGATCTTTTCTCCTTCTCACTCACATACCACATTGTACTCATTTATCTTGTGACTCTGTGTTCCCCTCTAGAAAGGCAGCCCCACAAGGACAGGACTGGATCAGAGGAGCTGAGCTACAAATTGAATAAGGATGTCCATGGGTTGGTCAGGACGTCAGAAGTGGGATGGGAAGATGGGAAGGATTCCAGGGCCAGGAGCTGGGCAGAGGCATCATAGACAGCAGAGGGGAGCCCTCAGGGCCAGGACAGTGTTAGGGCTGAGGGAAGCTGGGGAAGACAGGAACAAGGGACATCCCAGGGCAGCCCCACTCACCTTGACCCTGAAGGGGCAGCGGGTCTGGTCTACCAGCATGATATTCTCAGGTTTGAGATCAGCGTGGATGATTGCCAGTTCCTTGAACCGGGTCAGGGCTCTGAGCACCTGCAGGGTGACTGTGCGGATGTGACGGGCAGGGAGGGGTGCAAAGTTGTTCTCCTTCTGGAATTCAAAAAGGTTTTGCTCCAGCAGCTCGAAGACCAGGTAGAACCTGAGAGCGTCATGGAAGAACTCAAGGAAGCGGACGACATGGGCCTCCTCAGGATCCAGGTCCCTCATGCAGTGCAGCAGCTTCAGCTCATTCTTGATGATACGGTTGCGGTAGGCGTCATTCTTGAGGATCTTGATGGCCACCATCTCACCTGTGCTTCGCCGCCAGCCCTTGGCCACCTCCCCGAAGGTGCCCTTGCCCAGCACTTCAATGATGTCGTAGCAGTCAGTCTCCGACTGGATGGTAGCCATGGTGTCCCTGCCACCACACACTGCCCTGCGGCCACCCCCACCCGACAGGCTCTGCCTCCAAGGCCTCCTGCCCCACTGCCGGCCCTGAGAACCCCCACTACAGGAAAGGGGAAAGAGAACCACTCGTGCCTGCCTCCCTGACACCCTCAGCCCCCTGAGCTACAAGACGAGTCTGCCAGGGGCTGTGTCCCTCCCCTAAAGCCCTCCTGGCTTGGGACCAGGGGCCCCAGGCCTCCCCAAATAGTTTCCAGCGTTGCTGAGTGGGTTGGTTCTGTTGTTGGAGACCTGAGCCCCCGGCTGGAATGGGGGGTGGGGTGGCAGGTCGAGGCCCCTCCCCCACCCAGGGGTGGGGCCCTGGAGAGGCTGGACAGGTAAAGGGGCAATTGGGAGGGGTCTGATCCTGGACTCCAGGCACAGAGGAATGGGACATTCCTAACCAGAGGAATAGAAAGGTTCCTGAGCTAGATGTGTGTGTGTGTGTGTGTGTGTGTGTGTGTGTGTGTGTGTGTGTGTGTGTGTGTGTCTGTGTGTGTCTGTGTGTGTCTGTGTTCAGAAAACACCTGCCATGGGGGAGGTGTGGCTAAGGCAGGGCCAAGTTATCAAAGGTCTTGAATGCCAGGCTAAGGAGTTTGAATTCATTCTGAGGGCACTGGGGAACCACAGAAGGGTTTTGAGCAAGGGAGGGCAGGGACTGACTTGAATGTCAGAAAGCTACTGTGTGAAGAAGGGTGGGTTGGAGGGAGCAAGAGTGGAGGCCCTGAGCCTGGAGCAGGGCCCAGGTGGGAAAGGTTGGGGTGCCAGGCAGGAGGCTGGCAGATGTACTCAGGAGGCCAGGAGGCCAGGCTGTGGGACTGACTGGTTTGGGGGAAATGAGAGAGACCATTCAGGACAAGGCCCAGGACCCTGGCCTGGGTAATGATGGCAGGGTCTTTGAGATGGGGGAATGGATAGGAGCACTTTCAGGGAGAGGATGCTGAGGTCAGACTTGGGAATTAGACACTGCAACATTTAAACATGTATTGAGGGCTTTAGAAGACTTAGCTAATCCTTACAACGTGCGTCTTAATAGCTGCCTTTTTATGGAAGAGAAAATCAAGGCACAGAGAAGTTTAAAAATTGCCTAAGTTCACCCAGCTGGGTGCCAGAGACAGTCTGCATGTAGAGCCACCAGCTCACACACCCTCCTAACGCCCAGGAGATGTCGGGGGAGGCACACAGAGGCCACCGAATCCCTATGTGGGACAACTCGAGGGCAACACAGCCCAAAGAGGATGTGTGGGTGGATGAGGGCCCGGGAGGAGCCCTGAGGGCCCAAGGGACATGAGGAGAGAGAAGAGGGGTGGGGAAGGGAGAAGATGGTGTTCAGCAAGGAGGGAGAAGCCCGGAGAAGCCAGCATAAAGGAGACAGAGGAAGTCCTCTGAGTGACCACGGAGGTCAGCGTGGTGGGAGGAAGACCTACATGTGAGGGGCTTGAGCGAGGGGCATGCCCCTCGGGTGTAGATAGCTCCTGCTGGGTGTGGAGCGGACAAAGCATATGACAGGGTAGTGACTTGAGAGGGGCCAGCTTGAAAAGACAAGGTGCTGGAATGAGGGGTCTGTGACAGCTCAAGGGAGTGACCCTTCACCCTCTAGGATGGGACAGCAGAGATGCAGAGAGTGGAAGGGTAGATACAGGGGCACAAGGAGATCTGGGACCAGACAGTGTGTCTTCTTAGTTCAGTCTGGGGCATCAGAGAGAGACATGGTGGAGTCTGGCGGCCCTGGAGAGGGGGGCAGGAGGACCTAGACAGGTCCCTGGGGGCCAAGATCCAGCCCCAATAAGGGCTGAGGACCCTAGGACCTAGTCCTGATAGACAGCCAGGCATGTCTGGGTGGAGGCTCTGAAACCATGAGGCTGGAGAGAGGACCAGGAGGGGCCTTCCTGGGTGTGGCTGGGGTGGACTAAGGTGGACTAGGCAGTTAAACCAGCAAGACAGGAAAGGGACAGCAAGGATGGGGAGGTGCTGGGTGGCGGGCAGGTGACCAGCAGGGGGCAGGTGGGTAGCAATCATTCTGCCCTCCTAGGGCCCCAGGCCAGGTGAGTCCCCAGCAGAGGGGTCCTGCAGCTGTGCTCTGATGGGGAACCTGCCAGAGGCCTGTTCAGAGTCCATTGCGGATTTTGAAGGGCTAGGGCCTTCTCCCTACACCCCCTGCCCTGGGGCTACCCCAAGGCCTTCCTGACTCTCCTCAGACCAGAGGAGGCCCATGTTTCAGGCATTCAGCCTCCCCTCAAGCCAAGCTCAAGTCCCCCTCCTTCCTCCTCCGGGACTCCTTTCTCTGCATCCTCTCGTGCCTCTACATTCCCGTGGACACCCCGCCCAAACACACACACAGAGAAGGACACAAGGCTACCTACCTCTGAATTATTTTATTCACATGGCTTGGCAAGATACAGACACTGCTGCCAATGACCAGCCCTGCCCGGTCAGCCCCGACCCTCTGAGGGTTAGTGCTAGTTATCTCACACACAAACGAGGGGGAGGTGGGGATGGGAAGGTGGGAGGGGAGCCTCCCTTTGCCCAGGGGCTTCAGATAACAGCAGCCTGAGCCCCCTCCATCCTGGTGGGGCCTGGAGCGCCCCCTGTCTCCGAGAATCCCACGCTGGGCAGCCGAACCCGGAATCCACCCTCTTCCTGGTCACCGCTCCGGGCCTTGGGACTTAGACCCACCCGGGGGAAGCGGAACTTGGGGGACTTCTCCCCGCCAGGGGACTTGGGAGCTGCCTCACCCTCCTGTCCCCAAGAAGCCTTGGAAGGGGTAGCCAGGCCCACACGGGGCAGGCGGACTCGGACCCGGCCGCGGCGTCCTGAGGCCCCTTCCCCACTGCCCTCCTCCTCGTCCGGGCTGGGGGAGCCTTCCCCGGCGACTGCCTCACTCTGGCTGAAGCCTACACGCGGCAGCTTGAGTTTCGGGCTCTTGGCCTTCTCGCCTTCCTCAGCCCCCTCCTTGGCCCGCGCCAGGCTAAACCGTGGCAGCCGCACCTTGGGCTTGTGTCCCGCACACCCCTCGTTCTCCGCTACCTGATACTCAGCATGGGTGCCCACGGCGGGTGGCGAGAGCTCCACGTTGGGCAGTGAGAGGCGGAAGGCACGCTCGGCCCCTGGGGACTGGTCTCTGGACCCCTCTCCCCCAGCCCCAGCTCTGGCCCCCAGTGTGGGCATCTTCAGCCTCAGCCCACCCTCCCCTGCGGCTGCCTCACCCACCTGCGCCTCTCGGCTCAGCCCCACATCCAGCTCCAGCTGGGGCACTGTCACAGCGGGCATCTTAAAGACACCCTCTCCCACCAACAACTCACCACCTGCCACCTGGGCTCCAGGCAGAGACAAGGTCACCTGAGGCACCTGGACCCTGTAGCCTGCTGTGCCCTCTGCTGAAGGGGCCATGCTGTCGGCCTGTTGTCCTGCACTGGTGCTCAGAGTGGCCTCCCCAAAGCTGGCCAGCTCCACCTGGGGCAGGGAGATGCCCAGGGGCATCCTCAGCCCTGCCTCCTGGCCCTCAGTGCCTGCCTGCCTGGTTGTGGACGCCTGCAAGCCTGACAGCCCGACTCCACTGACGGCAACCACCCCCTCTGCTCCACCTTCATCCTGGGCCCCCAGCGTGACCAGCTCCACCTCAGGGATCTTAAGGTGGGCAGCCATTGGCTCTAGCTTGGCCCCAGGGCTAACATGCCCACCCTGGGTTTCTGCTTCCTTCCCCCGTGCCAGCCCAAAGGAGGGCATCTTCAGCTTGGGCATCTTCACCCTCCCATCCCAACCCCAGCCCTTGCCCTCCAGCTCAGCCACCCCTGCTGCTAGTTCTCCTGCTTCGGTGTCCTGGCCTTTGACCCCAAACATGGGCAGGGCAAACCTGGGTCCCTTGTGCTTGACATCGGCCCCTGCCACCTCCACCTTGCCTGTGGGCAGATGGGCATCCAGACTGAGTCGTGGGATGGACAAATCGAGGGCAGGCAGCAGGCCTGCCTCCCCAGCCCCTTTGGGCTCAGCCTCAGTCCCTACCCGAGCCTTGGGGAGTGAGATGGCGAACTTGGACACCTTCAGCTTGGTGGCTCGCCCAGCCCCCTCAACCTCTGCCTTGGCCCCCTTCTGCCCGGAGAGTCCAAACTTAGGCAGAGAGAACTTGGAGGAGGGCTTGACTTTCATCTCCATCACCTCTAGCCGCCCTTCCTCCACTTCTGTCGTGGACAGCTGTGGAGTGACGATCTCAACAGAGGGCATGCGGAAGGCCACTTCCCCAACCCCTGCTGCCTCCCTGGGACCCTCTGCCTGCTCCACCTTGCGCACTCCGACTGCTGGGACATGGCCCTCCAGGCTGAGGGCTCTGGGCAGGTCTAGCTCCACCGAGGGGAGTGTGAGAGAGGGGACACCCACACGAACTTCGCTGCCCACCTCTGGCTGCAGACAGGGAAGTGTAACCAGCTTCCCCAGGACCTCAGCCCCTGCCTCGCCTGGCTTGCCTTGTGATGGGGACCCTGTCCTCCCCAGCTTTGGCATGGCCATCTTGGGCATCTTGAAGCCAAACTCCATCCCCTCTGCCTGCTCTGCCCTGGCAGCTTTTAGTTGCACATCTGGGACCTTTGGCACTTGCATTTCTGGCAGCTGTATCTCTGACACCTTTGGCAGCTGCACCTCCAGGAGGTGCACGTCAGGCACAGTCACCTCGGGCACTTTGGGGAGTTTTATCTCAGGGAGTTTCACCTCTGAGACTTTTGGCAGTTGCACCTCTGGGAGTCGCACTTCAGGCACGGCCATCTCAGGCATCTTTGGGAGCTTCATCTCTGGAACTTTCAGGAGCTGCACCTCTGGGAGATGCACATCTGGCATGGCCACCTCGGGCACCTTGGGGAGCTTCATCTCTGGAACTTTTGGGAGCTGCACCTCTGGGAGACGCACCTCAGGCACGGCCATCTCGGGCACCTTTGGGAGCCTCACCTCAGGGACTTTGGGCAGCTGCACCTCTGGGAGATGCACCTCAGGTACGGCCATCTCAGGCACCTTTGGGAGCTTCATTTCAGGGAGTTTCATCTCTGGAACTTTGGGGAGCTGCACTTCCAGGAGTTGCACCTCAGGCACGGCTACCTCAGGCACCTTCGGGAGCTTCATCTCTGGAACTTTTGGGAGCTGCACTTCTGGGAGACGCACCTCAGGCACGGCCACCTCGGGCACCTTTGGGAGCTTCATCTCTGACACCTTTGGGAGCTCCACCTCTGGGAGCTGCACACCTGGGAGGGCTGCCTCAGGCACTTTTGGGAGCTTGATGTCAGGGACCTTGGGGAGCTTCACTTCAGGCCCTTTGGGCATCTTGACCTCAGGGGCTGAGACACCTATGCCAAAGGAGGGCATCTTGATGATGGG